CCTTCACCCCCTGCCATAGTCATAGAACAACTATTGTTCCCGACCTGGCTCTTACCTCATCGATGGCGGGTAATTTGAAAAATGTAACTCTCCATGACTTGTAACATCACAGACTTGTGCTCCCAGGCCACACACTGTCACAGCAGCTGCACCTTGCTCTCGGTAAAATCCACAGACCATCATGTCCACCATGGGCTGTGCTATTACGCCCAAACGAAGGGCAAGACATAAATCTCACTATAAACGAAGGGCAAAACATGAATTTCAAAATGGTTCACCCCCCGCCACCCTTCATTTGGCTCAAATTGAATCAAATCGTGCACTCCATATTGAACCAACAATTTTTTTTATAAACACAAAGTCTACGTACTACACCAAAGTGACAGGCAATGTCCATAGACGTGATACGAAATGATACTAAAATAATCCAATAGCTCTGTATAACATGATAAATAGATCTACCAGCTCCCGACACTAAGAGACTCTGGTTCTGTCGACACGCTTCTCTCTGCTCAAACAAAAAAGGTGGAGGAATCTAAAAGAAGCACATCAACACAACAAAGGTCATTTGGTGGTGGAAAAAAAACAAACAGATACTAAAAATGTAAATGTAAGGAAAGAACAGAGGTTGGACCTGCCAGTGGCACCTTCTAACCATCAACAATCCCATAGAAGATGAAGGAGGGAACGTGAGAAAAGATATAATAAAGTTTTCGCCATAACATTCTATTCATTCACTCCTTCCATTCATCATAATGCCTGCTGTACAAATTGATATAAAGAAATCATTAGTACAAAAAATTGCCCAAAACACCCACAGAGCACCCCTCATTTCGCAGAGTAGCAGCACAGCTATTTACTGGAGGAACAAAAGAACTGACCGCTCACCACAACATCGATAAAAAATAGTATGGCATTTTACAACTGCCCATATTTCAACAGCCACACAGCACAGAGGGTATAACAGGGCTTGCGCCCCGTCCCAATACCTTGGAACATAATCTAAAAATGTGAACTTTTGACAAAACTCTGAGTGTGATAGTTGAGCTGCTACCTCACAAATTTATTTCCACTGCAACAAATAATGTATAAACCAGAGAGCTGCTTTGTATTTGCTCAAGTTCAGAAACACAGCACCGGTGCATTAGTTCAGAGTCAGCCTGACCTCCAACTACCCCACAGAGAGGGAATATTTACACATTGCTATAGCTGAGCCACAGATACTGATGTACCACAACGGTGCTGCAGTAAGGGTAACTTACTCTTAATCTTAACAGTACATGTAACATGATGTGAAATAAACGAAATGTATTTAAAAAAATGATAAATATAGAAAAAAACAATAAATAGAATAGATAATAAAATTTCAGAAAGTGACATGTACATTTAAAAAAAATAAAAAATTAGACATTCATTATCTGTCAAAATGCAAATCTTTCATGAACTTTCAAAAAGTAACAGAATAATGTTCACAAGATAAAGTTGTATTTGATTTTTCCAGATGAGGTCGTCTGTGTGTGCTCTCACGCGGACATTTTGTACTTTGGCTCCTGCAGCTCGATGGACGAGTAGTACAGAACAAACGCGGCAGACGTCTGAAAGGCAACAACACAGAGCAGATGTCAAAATGTAATCGTTGGCATTTTATGCCCTGATCCACACTATTGAGATCATTTCGAAGGTAGGCTACTTCGATCCTGTCTGTCAGGGCCATGCCAGGCTAAGAAAGGGTACAACCTCCCAGCAGACAGATTGACACTCAATTAAAAAATTCCCCACACGGTAATCAAACTAATGTCTTCAGCTTGCAATGGTGAAGCCTATAACCACTGCATACACCACAGATGCTGGCACAACAGATGTGAGTAGCGCATGAAACCCAATTCACAATACTGCTGCATTTTTTCCCACTTCCCAATATATATCATTTCAAATAAATCATCATTATCTTTAAGACCGTAACCACAGTCAATATTTATAGTTCACAGTCCTCATAATTGCACAAAAAAACATAAGATAATAACATTTCAACATTTCATCTTTTCTTCACAGCAGGTCAACTACCACCACCGTGTCAGAGACCATTAACTCACTGAAGACTGAGGTCTCGTGAGGTGCACAACCCCTGAAAACTGAGGTCTCGTGAGGTGCACAACCCCTGAAAACTGAGGATTTTTTGGGTATCTTAAAAAATCATGACTTTACTCAGAATTTTCCAATTGCTCTGTTCTTTTCACATAAGTAAGACAGACAAGTTTGTGCTCTTTCAAATAAAACAAAATTGAATGCTGTATCTTTTATACTTTTAAAAATATCAATTTGTGAAAAGCACATCAATTTTACTTTTCTCAAGAATTTTATAAAAGGACACTTGTCACAAATAAAATTCCCCTTCCCTTTACTCACACCAGATCTACTTGCACCTTTACCAACAGAAATATCACTGTCAGGCCTTTTATGCCTCTCAGGCACAAATTCCGAATCATTAGGATTGCTTAGTTCACTTTCTGACGAACTAGACTCATTGAAAAAGTAAAAAATGTTGCTAGTTTTGCTGCGTACACATTCTCTCGAAGTCTGCATGCAGGCAGCCATTTTTCCTAGAACTGACGTTTGTAATATTCTGAGTGACACCCCCTAAAAGTTCGTACAAAAAAATGTTCTACCCCTACTTCCGCAAAACTTTGCATGAACTGAAAGAAATGGATGACCTAGCGCTGACCATGATTCCTGAGGCGGGCTTACGAAAAGTGCGAAAAAATTATAAAACTGGTCCCGAGGGGGTCAGTGGATCTGGTGTCAGAGAGAAATCGGCCAGTCCCAGAATGTCTCGGGATACGGTGTAAGTGAGTTAACCTACCTGCCATCCATCCTAATAACTTAATATAACACTGTATTAAAAAAGGGCAATTAACCAAACAAAACAAAGCTGCAACGGCAAATCATTATAAAGTACAAATGACAAAAGACAATGAATCTACCATTGTACATTAACTTAGTTGATAAAGCTCATCAAAATAAGTAAAAATCTTTTGTCGCATATGATGCCAAGGCTGCACCACCTCCCCCCTCCCCTCCCCCCCCCACCACAGATATGCATAGTGGGTTAAAAAAGTTCTAAATGGAGACCTCCCCTAGACCTTTGCCACTCAGCTTCCCACCACACCACCACTACAACAAGTACTATCAATAATTACCACAGCACATATATACATGTACATACTACATTGCAAATGGGATAGGGTAAAGGCTAAGGTTAGGAGTTCTTTAACTGACCTTGACATCCGAGGCGCTGATTTCGTAGACGTCCTGGTCATCAAACTTGTGCCATTTCTTGTTCACGGGGTTACGGCAACACGCTGTGTCTGCACAGGGAAAGGAATGTTGGTCACTATAATTTCTATGTATTAAAACTGGATCAAAGGGAAAAGGAATTTAGTTTTAGTAGAGGTTTTACGGCGCTCGCAACTGCATAAGGTCATATGAGCGCCAGAAGATTAGAGGTGTTACAAGAGGGTAACAAACATAAAAAAGAAGAAGGGGAGATAAGGATGATAGATGTTCGATAGGAAAGAAAGAGCAAACCACACCAGAGCACCTGCCAACCACCCACAGGAAAAGGAATGTTAATTAACTAATATAACAATGAACTAGACCTGGATCAAACTCACACTAACACATCTACGCAAGGATAAGAATGTAGGTCTAGTCCATATAATGATGTAGGAGAATTGTATAAAAAGCACAGACTCAGACTAGAGAGCTTACAGGATGCAGCTGAAAATAAACAGCAGATTGTGATCTGACTTAAAAATCTACAAACATAGTTGTTTCATTTCAACCTATTTAGGACCAAAGCACAATTTGTGAAACACATACGCCATCTCACATCCTACCTGCTGGCAGATTCTGATCTTTTTGTTGGAGAAAAGAGATGTACTATAGCAGGAAAAAGTAAGACAAAACAAACAGACAAAAAGAACAAAGGGATAGACAAAGAAATAGGACCTACCAGTGGTGCCCTCCAAACACCTACCATTAGTAGATTCTGTGGTGGGTAAATTCATCCAAAGTTTGAGTACTTAAACATTATGAGTATACACAAGCACACTGACACAGTAATGATCATGTTGTTCATGTGAAAACCAGGACATGTAAACAGACAAAGTTAACTCACTTGCGACTGGGCCCTTTCACCAGTCACAAGCGTTGAAGGCTGGCGTTTTTGGGGGTATTTCAATAAATCACCACAACTCTCAGAATTACCCTATTGTAATCATATTTTGACACAGTAAAGTAACATTCAAGCTTAATCTAATACAAAAAACTAAAGTTGTCTAAGTCTAATACTTTAATTTGTATGATTTTTAAAAAATTGGCATGAATTTGATTTTCCGAAAAATTTCCAGAGACGTGACAAGTAGAATGAAATTCACTGCAACAACAAAAATAAAAGTTCAAAGTGTTCTGGTTTGATTTGTATACATGTTCGAGTGTTTGGTGAAAATATAAAAGCTGGTCTGTGCATTGATTCAGACCCATACACTGAATTACATGAGACAGATGTACGGCACGACGTTGTGATTTCGTTGCGCGAAAAACAACACTGGTACTAGAGCTAGATCTAGCCCTAGAACTACGACTCGGGCCGTGTTCGGGTACATATCCAGGATCCTAACTATTAGACACATCATATTCTGAGACACTAGAACTAATAAAACGCACAGAAGTATAGAAAACGGCGAAATTATGTGACTCTTGTTCATGCGACTTCTTCGACCGTTACTACGACGCGACTGTCGGATTACTATCAGCTGTATAGAAAAAAACAAAGCGCGAGTTCCGGTCTGTTCAACTCCAGTTGGGGTCACTGTCCTTAACCTTCAATAACTTAAAAACTACTGGCCCCAGAGATACGAAACGAAGTCTGTAGCTCAGGCTTGGCCAAACAAGGGTACGAGGCGGGTCTCGCGATCCGTGCGTGATTTGTAGAGTGAAAAAAAATTCCAAAGTTGGTCACGCAGGGCTTGTGAGACCCGTCGCGAGCGTCGCGGCGGGGGTCACGCAACTGTTGTGTGACCCGTCTGAAGTGAGTTAATAAGACTAAAGAAAATAAACAGAACCAATCAGAGGAGCCTTCCTGCATCTCGATATCTCTTTTCAAGGAAGGGATAAATAACTCCATGACATCCACAAAACACACGACTAAAAAGACTAGACCCTATTGAAATCGTATCTAAAAATCTGGCAGTTTTCTACTTACAGTGTCCACCTTCCATGGTGCCATAGTGGTTCTGGAACAGGAAAATAAAAATGTGTTATTGGAAAGTCATTCAAATTCTTTAGAGAATCATTTATTTATCAATAAATAGGGACAGACTTGTCCCCGGTTCATGGGCCTCGATTCATAGAAAACCTAGACGGGTTATATAGAGACATGATGGAAATGTAATAACAAGAGAGACAGACTTGTTTATGTCACAAAAATATGCAAATCTTCCAACAAAAATAAGACTTCAGTCAAAAAGCAGGAGCTGTTGCCTTTCTTAAGTTTTGTTTGATAGAGGAGAAGCACATTGACCCGACAAAGGACATTTAGTGCAAGATAGAAGAAATAGGCTTACACCAGCTTAAAGCACTTTACATGATTCACATGATCTTGATATCTTAGTTCATGAGAATTCCTGTGCGTCCAGATTTTAGGGCAGGCATGGGCAAACAACGGCCTGTGGGCAGATCCAGCCCATGAGCAGCTCCAGTCTAACTGCGGAGTCAACCCAGTAATTATTAATGATGAATGTGGCCCATGGTGAGTTGATACTGTCCGTCTAGGAAATTAATATGAACAGTTCCTAGACCCCAGCTGGAAACAATAGTTTTAATAATTTCTCTCATGAAATGCCCTTGAGAGACATATGATATAGCATCAGTTTTAGTCCCACTTTTGAGAGCTTGAGTATTTCAACCAATTTTGTCCCATCTTCTCCAGCTTTGCTCCTGAGATATTTGGAATCCCTTAATGTGGTCCACGACTTAACACCCTTGCGCGTGCCTGTTTTAGAGCCATTGTGCACTAGGCACATTTGCTACTCACAGAAACTCCATAGAGGTTGAAAGCTTTCCTGGGCTTGGGTCCTATGACAGCATCAGAAAGATCCAGCTCTTGAGTCGGGAAATCAACATACGTCGTCTTTTTCTGCATCCACATTCCCTCACTGTAGAATCTGGAGTAAGGGGAAAATATCAGTTGTAATTGCAGAACAGGGCCTCTCAAGCTTTATATTATATCCAGTGCCCATTTTAGCTAACTTTAAATAATCTAAAAGTTTGTACCGCCATTCCACATGTATTTCCAAGCAGGGCATACAATAACACTTGTTACTACATGGTTGACCCCCCCCCCCCCCCCCTCCGCCCACCAAAATGACCAAATTGCCAACAATTGAGCGATACTGCCCTGGCTGGCAAGCACTGTTGTAGATATTTTACATCGTCTTAAAACAACAATTTAGATAATTTAGGAGGGGGGGCTTCCTTGACCCTGCTTGTCAGGGCCAGCCAAGGCTGAGAGGGATACACAAAATGAGAACTACATCTTGCAAAGGAAAGCTTAAGATGAGAGAAAAACAGAAAAGAAGCAGAAAAAGTTTTAGTTTAGTTTTAGTAGAAGTTTGACGGCGCTCGCAACTGCATAAGGTCATATGAGCGCCAGAAGATTCGAGCTGTTACAAGAGAGTAACAAACATAAAAAAAGAAGAAGGGGAGATAAGGACGATAAATGTTTGACAGGAAAGAGGAAGCAGCAAAAAAAAAAGAAAAGAAAAGAAGAAGAGAAGCACAGCGACACAATAATAGTCATTACGTGCTGAAAAAAGCAAGACAGACAAGAGGGAAAGAGGTGTTACTGAAGAATAACGTACAAAGAAAAGAAGAAGGAGTAAGGACCACGTTAGATGTTTGATAGGAAAGAAGGAGCAAACCACACTAGAGCATCCACCAGCCACGCATTCACAGTATCAACGACTGACAAAAGGAAAAAAAAACCCATAAAGTACAGCAAACCAAGGAGAAGTTCGAACGTAAATTTCCAGATTTTTACTCTCTTCTCCAAGGGTCAGAGAAAAGCCAGCTACCTGTTCAAGCCTATGAGCAGAATGGGGGGAAGTTTCCAGATGTCTATTTTCTTCTCCGAGTCCCGTTCGACCTTACACCGCGGACACTTCCACTTGCTGCTGCCCGTCATCATCTCAGGCTTGAGGAACTCTCGGATACACTCCTGGGGACATCGCATTGCACACGATTGTTAATGTTTATAAACGATTGTGAACGGTAGAAATTGATTGTAAATGACTGTAAACAATTGAACTGTGAATGATTGTAAAGGGTCAAGAATGATTGTTCATTATTGTAAATAACTGAAAGGTAAATGATTGTAAACAACTGAACAGTAAATAACTGTATATGATTGTAAACAATTGAACTGTAAATGACTGTAAACAATTGAACAGTAAATGATTGTAAACAACTGAATTGTAAGCGATTGTACATGGTTGTAAATGACTGCAAACAACTGTACATGACAGCAAACAAATGAATAGTGAATGACAGCACATGATAGTATATAATGAAAAAAAAAAAGAATGTAGAAGGTAGAGAATGACTGTAAAATTGGGCTCCGCGGTCTCCTGTAGTACTTACCTTGAGAGAACATCGGTTAGACGCTGGTATGGGCAGAGAGAGGAACATAAAGGCCTGGAAGGTGACAGATGTCTTTCTACATGTCCTGCACATCAGGGTGGACTTCAGCTGGCCCTGAAAATGGAGAAAAAAACCCAACAAACCCATCTGTTACACGTATATCTGTGAACATTTTACAACTCCATCAACTTAGTTTTACTATTTAGGAAACAGGCTGCTTTGATTTTGCTTGTCGCGCCCATCCTGGGCTGAGCGGGACATAACATCTTAACAGACAGGCAAAAAATACTGGAATAAAATTTACCCCTCCCCACATGGGAATCGAACTCATGTCTGCTGCATGTAACAGGGCACAGCCTGACCGTTAAATCATGGACGCCAGCTTCAACAGAAGATGATGGATGAAAAAGTGTTTCTTGTCTCATAAAAAGGAAACTCTATTCCGAAAAGAACAAAAAACATAAAAACCAACAGTCAGTGCCATGTAACATTGTATCTAATTTCAGCTCTGCCCACCTGGAAAAGTTCGACAATAACAGAGCGGTGCAGCATCCTGTGGTGTTTCCACGCTGTCTCTGCCGCCTGGTGATCCGGCAGGTTCTCGTTGTTCTGCTCGGGGATTTGAGGCGCTTTTTTCACCTGGTGAGAGGAAGTGTATACTGCTGTAAGTTGCAAGTGTATGGGTTTAGCACCCCTATCAACACTATTAGATTATTCAAGAAGCAGGACCTCTGAATTTAACGTTTGTCTCCAATATGACCGAGCCAAATGGGTTGAGAGTTTTGAAAAGTCCAAATAATGACTCGAGTTAAAAAACTCCGTATCTGGGATTCGAACCAGGGTCATCATCCATTCTACAGTCAGGCATGATACCAACTGGGCTAATGGAGCGCCCCATACGGCTGTGAATGCTGGACAATAATGGTTGAGAATGAATTTTATGCAAGGAAAAGAAATCAAATGAGGTAGTAGGGGCCTACTTAAAAAACCCATATGGGCCATCCATTAATTAAAAACAATTAGAAGGGGACAAAAGCAGATCTTGATACGCTAGAATCGACATAAAAATCTCCATCATTTTCCTCTCACTAGTAATATTGAAGACAAACGAGGCAGCGGCAGACCCAGGGCATCTCATTTTGAAAGCCTGAACAGGTTTCTAAAGGGAAAGGCAGCTTTTTTTTTTTTTTGAGAACACCCAAGTAAAGAAGCAAATGGCACACCGTTACTGCTGATGACTGTTTCAGATCTGGCAACCCC